TCTCAAATCAACCAGAAAAACAAACAACAACGATCGCCAAATCGTTGTCATCAGCAAAACGTGCTCGCGTGCGTGCATTGGCTTACGTGTAGTCTACGTGTACATCAGTGTGCGTGCATGCATATCGAAGTGTACGAGTAGAAAAGAAGAATGATCATGCGCGCATGATGCATCGATGAGTCATACCACCACGTAACCATGGATATAAATAATGGCGACGCGATGGCGACAGCAAAGTTCCGCGCACAAAAGCGCAGGTGCAACAAGGAAAAATCAGAGTGCAGAACAAACAGAAATTCAAATCGAAAGGAGATAAATATTGTGGAGATGAAGCAAATCAGTTTGGTCTGTCAGAGGGTGCTTGCGCCCAGAGACAGGGTGACAGCAAACCCTGTCAGAGAGAGTCAGTGTACAGAATAGGAATACATAGAACGCAGCACGCAATGGAGTTGCTGTGGAGAGCGAGAATGCAAGCAACAACGTAAGTATTATCTATGCAACTGATTATATCGGCGTATCCGACAAACACGCACAACAAACACTGTATTGTAACAACACACTCGTAAATGATGTTATCCCAACAACACTCATTCTATTTCAGCGCAGTGTCCTGTCCAATCACACTCAAAATCACACTCGTAAATCTCGCACACTCCCTCCTTGACAATATGACAACTGACACTCATAAATCTCGCACATACCAAGCTCAAACAACATCATCCTCATTGCTCACCCGCAACAACGCAGGTGCCGTCATCTGCCGAAACTTCAACCTTGGCAAGTGTAGCTGGTCAAATTGCCGGTTCTCCCACATCTGCAACCGCTGTGGCAAGGACCACCCCCGCAGCAAGTGTTCCGCCAAAGGTCAGCGACCGGCCCAGTAGTTCGGGATTGCAATCCCAGCCTGAGCAACCAATAACTGTTGCATGTGTACATAATTTTGTTCCCCCTCACATTAATAATTCCTCTGTACATACCCCTTTGCATGTCTCTCGTTTTGAGCTTCTATTGCGTCATCACCCCGATAAAGAATTTGCTTCCTATGTGCTAAACGGGCTACGGCTTTAGCATAGGTTTCACTGCTTCACGCGACATTTCTGTCCAGTCTGCTAATCTGCCATCTTCTGCTGCTTGTGCCTCCTTTATTTCTGACCAGCTTTATGCTTCTTGCCAGCGTGGCGAAACTGCCGGTCCTTTAAGTGCAGCCCCGTTCACCTTCATGCGCTGTTCTGGTGTTGGCGCAGTATCGAAGAAGAACGGCAAGCTTCGTATGATTCACCATCTTTCTAGCCCCGCCGGTAATAGTGTGAACGACGGAGTTCCAGCTGACCAGTTTTCCCTGCACTACATCAGTATTGACGATGCAATCGGGTCTATTATGTCCTCATCTCAGCCGGTGTACCTCGCAAAGCTGGACATCAAAAGTGCATTCCGGCAAATCCCAGTTCGTGCTGAAGACCACTCACTACTCGGCATATTCTGGCAAGGCAGCTACTATTACGAGCGGGTGCTACCGTTTGGGCTTCGCTCCAGCCCAGCCATTTTCGATTCCGTTGCCTCGGCCATAGAGTGGATTATCCAGAATCATTTCTCCATTGCCGACCTATTCCACTACTTGGACGACTTCCTAAACGTCACAACTGGCCATACTGTCGCCCAGCGTCAACTAGCAATCCTGCTGCGAGCCTTCATGTATTTGAGCGTGCTGCTAGCGCCAGCAAAGGTGGAAGGTCCCGCGAGATCACTGACGTTCCTCGGCATTATTCTGGACTGCGAGCCGCTCGAGGCCAGGCTCCCCATGGACAAGCTCACCGACCTCCGATCGCTATTGGCCAGCACGATCAACAGCCGGAAGATATCCCAATGCCAACTCGAGTCCCTATTGGGTAAGCTCTCGTTTGCTGCCCGTGTCATCACTCCAGGCCGTACCTTCATGCGTCGTCAGTGGTCCGTCTGCTCACGGTTTCAGCAACCACACTACTCAATAACTTTGACCCAAGAATGCGTGGATGACCTGCTATGGTGGATGAGGTTACTAAGTGAGTGGAACGGGAAGTCCTTCTTCTTGCACCCTAACTGGACCCCATCACCAGATCTCCAGCTATACACAGATGCAAGTGGCACTCACGGCTGGGGTGCTTACAAAAACGGGAAGTGGATTCAAGGTTCATGGAACAGTGCCCAGATGCTGCAGTCTATCGAGTGGAAGGAGCTGTTTGCCCTCGTAGCAGCCTGCGCCACATGGGGCGACGAATGGGCTAAGCTCTGGATTCGGGTACACTGCGACAACTCGGCGGTAGTGGACTGCATCCGTTCGGGCACGTGCAAAGCCCCAGCTGTGATGAAGTTGCTACGCGTACTGTTCTTCGTTTGCTATGAGTTCAACTTTCATGTTAGCGCTGTGCACATTGCTGGCTCCAAGAATGTCATTGCAGATTGCCTTTCTCGTTTTCTTATGCAGGAATTTCGACGTCATGCTCCGTTAGCGCGGCCGAGTCCAGACCGTGCTCGTATTCCAGCAGTCTTGTGAGCGAAGTTACTAAGTACGCTGCCTGTGCAATTGCTGCTAATACCAGACGCACCTACTCTGCCAGTGAGCGTCGTTTTGTCAGTTTCTGCTCCCTTTGCAATCTGCAACCTTACCCAGCTTCTGATCTTACCCTCAGCTGCTTTTGCGCCTTCTTGCTCGCTCTGTCCGCCCTTGCACGATATCTGTTTATTTGCAAGCTGTACGGAATGCACACATTGAACAGGGTCTAGAGGATCCCCTGATCGAGACCTGGCTTCTCAAGAGAGTGTTGAAGGGTGTTCAACGGTGGTAGTTTCTCGATCGGCGCATTCTCTGAGTATACTCAAATGTGGCCGGTTCTCCATGGGACCGACGCGGATCGACTGCGACATGTCTCACCTTGACGAAGAATCAGATCGTATTCGTCTGAGCAACATATGAGCCACTTCAAGCACCTAAAATATATCGATATTGCAATTTTCTCAAAAACGGATATACTCGTCTTTACGTAGTCAAGTGGTGTGCTTCACTGTCCGAAGAGTGCTCAATGCCCATGTAGGACAGAGCCTTGTTGATCGTAGTAATACGTTAAACTCAGAGTTGTGACAAAGCTTCCAATCTCTCTCTTGTGTATACTCGTCTTTAGGAATCCAGCTATACCTTGAAAAACGGATATATTCGTCCTTCGTCCTCAAAGGGTTAAAGTTAATGGTCTCCGGATTTTTGTGGGCTGGCGAGGTGAAATCCTAACAAATTCTGTCGCAAAACCGGCAAGAAGGCATGTCACCTACGGGGGAAAGCGCGTGTCGCTCAACCTACATGCTAAGCACGTGGGACCAGACATTGGCCAAACCACGCTGTACTAAAAGGGCGTGACAGCTCAGGACAGAGCTGCTCACTAGGTAGATCTTGCTGTCACAGGACTATCAGGCAGCAGTTGTCATATCCAGGGACGTGACGGAAGTATAGCGAAACCTGTCAAGGCGACCACTCTGATAAGGCGACCACCTGTCCAAGGAGACCACAACAACCAGGATCAGTGGAGGTTATTTCCAGTCCAATGACCCTGGAAAGGAAGACCACCTGTACACGGGGACCACGTTTGAAGGTACCTTGAGTCGTCACCTTAGACAGGTTTCACTGTAATGTTGCGAAATTCGATACGCTTATTATTTACACCCGTTGTTGTTTCTGGTCTCGCTGTCTTGTCCTGTCCGGTGTCAAATATGGTCTGCTGTCTGTACGGGAGTGATGTGTGGTGTGCAGCATATGGGTGTGATGCGTGTGACGTGGTATATGTGGTGTACCTTATTTTACCGGTTGTAAGTTGACCCCGGTTATAGATCGACCCCCGTATCCGAGGTCTCGTTTCTGCGTTTTAAAGTTTTCACCCAACGAAGCACTACCAACCACTCCCAGCTACTAACACATCAACAAATCATGTAAACATTCCTTATTGGAGGGTATAACGTCCTAATCCTTGAAAAAGGCCAATAAACTGGCAAACATGTGTACACATGGTGCACTCATGCATGCAGGGCAGATCATTTTGTGTAAGATTCCGATAGTTCCCGGTTATAAGTCGAATCGCGGTTGTAAGTCGACCCCCAACCTTTCTCCTTCTATTTCTAGTCGCAAAAGGTCGACTTACAACCGGAAAAATACGGTATGCGTTGTCAGAGTGTGTGGATCTGCTTCTGCCTGTGTGAGTGCGTTTGTCTACTAGTTGTTGCGCATGCGTGGATTATGTGGAGCATGCGCTGTGCGAGTCTGGTTCGGGTGCGAGGGAGTGGTGTGATTCGTCCACGATGTTGTTGTCTTGGTTCTGGTCACATGTATCGTACGTACTGGTCGCTCATAGGTAGTTTCGATGTGTTCGCCCTTTCTCTGTTTATAACTGGTGGTTGTTTATTATTTCGTTGTCTTTCTCCCCCGTTCTCTCGCCCACCAGTTGATTATTGATTCTAAGAGATATTGTTCAACTCCAAGTAACTGTGTTATTCTGTAATCCGCTTGGATGAGTCAGAGGGTAGTTGTGTGGCGGGGAGCGGGGGACAATTCCACAACCGTAATGCATCTGCACCGAACAGTCGCATACCGGCTTGCGGGGTATCAGAATGCATCATATACATGTGTTGGATAAGGGAAAACCCCATCGCAGGTACATGTGCCCTGGTGGATTGCTAACTCCAGTCACCCTGCCACGCAAGGACTTATATTTTTGAAAACAAACAAACACACACACACACATGCACGCATGCACACACACACACTCACACACACACAGACACACGCACGCACGCATGCACACACGCACACACACACACACACACACACACACACACACACGCGTCTACGCTCACGCATACACACACACACACACACTTACGCATACACACATGCACATGCACACGTGCACACACACACACACATAAAATAAATACACACATGATGTTTAAACAAGTATAATAGTAACAATACGCTGTCTTACATTGGCATGTGGTTCTGTTCACACACGTCAGTCCCCCTGTACACATCGGATCACAGCTGTTCTCTGGACAAGAAAACACCAAGATGGAGTGAAAACATGTGTCTGTTGTGCATATCGTATTTCCCCGATTGTAAGTCGCACACCCATTTCCAGGTCCATGTCATATTCACTATCATATTGTTTCGACATATTCACTTCAGAAGTAATTCATTTTAGTGTAAAAAGGTGCGACTTAAATTCGATGAAATTCGGTACCTCTCACGATCGAAGGCATAATCACATTATAGTAAGACTTGCCAAGGCGACCACCTGTTCCAGCAGACCACCGCCATAAGCACAAATGGATGCTATGGCCAGTCAAATGACCGTGGATAAGCAGACCCCCTGGTGATAGAGACCCGGTTGTGATGGCCCCTTGTGTATAGCTCATTGCGATAGAGAATCTCTATCGCAATGAGCTATACGCACAGTTGGTGCGTTTGTTTACTGCTATGAATCGATTCATGAATGGAATCTCGTCGTTCGATTTCATGTCATGAGCCCTGGAATGGGTTCCGAATCCATTCACCCGACTCATATGGGGTGATGTGAATAGCCTGGGGCGATTCATGAATGTCTTCAACATCGATTCGTGGGCAAAATTGAACGGACTTAGCGGCTATGCGTGCTGCTAAAAGGTGTGAGAAACTGGTCAAACTCACCTGCCGCAGCTTGAGGATCTAGCGTTGTGTTCGGCCATCCACGTCAGTCCATACATACAGCACAAGAGAAACGAGACACACAGCAAAATCCGGTCACAATTGCTCATCCTACCTGCTAGACACAACCATGCACAGTAAAACCTGCAATGGCGACTATTCGACCATGGTGACTACTTTTCCTTGTCACGGACACAAAGACATTCGAAACAGCTCGGATAAGGCGACCACTCGCTCAACGCGACTGACGACCACCCACCCGCGACCGCGTTGCACCCTGCTAGTATAATGTAAATGTATGCATTGCGCTGTGCACCATGCATGGCAGATCTACACATCAGTCATCAGCGCTGGAAGTGTAGATGTACATGTACATGGTCCATGCGCGACACAAACTTGACTCGTATGAGGACCCTAGGTACATGAGTCGTGGAAGAGCAGCATAGGTGTGTGCAGTGTGATACGCTGATCTAAATGATAAATCACATCTGGATATGATCACGTGACCTACTGAATTTGGATAAGAAGACCACCTGGCCAAGGCGATCACTTTTCTCGTCCCTTGAGTGGTCGCCTTAGACAGATTTCACTGTGTCTGTATTCAACTACAAACAGACGTCTAGATGCTGTCAGACTGGACTTTTCTCGAACAAATTGTCGCAATGAGATAATTTCATTAAAAAGAGGACAAATTTCAGCTTTTTCAACATCATTTTGAAAGTGTGTCCTACTTCTTCGTGTTGTAGCGTTTTCGTCTCCAAAGAAACATGTTTTATGCATTTGAAATGGAGATAAAGTTATTGTAACTGTTGTTGTCGGTCAGAATGATGGCCCACAGAAACGTCAGATGCTGCGGAGGCATTATTGGATGGAAGTGGAGGTGGGGAAGAAGTAACTCAGATCATAATAGAATAGAGTTACCGTCAGACCTCGCTTAAAACTGCACACATCCCTTTTCCACAAAATATCCGGACAGGTAAGGGAACCGGATAATCGAACACACATACTGTATGTATGCATGGCATATGCTGTAAATCGGTAACCAACGGTTTTCTTCCGGATGGCGAGGGATCCGGATAAAAGAGGACCAAATAATCGAGGTCTGACTGTATTTCACATCATGGTCATGTGACTAAATTTATGTAGAAAGTGATCATGTCATGTGGACAGTGGAAACAACATGGCTGACATCACTTGCATCATTGCCCGTTTGCTGTGCAATACAAAACAAAATCTCAACAACAACGACGACGACGATGACAACAACAACAACAACAACAACAACAACAACAACAACAACAACAACAACAACAACAACAACAACAACAACAACAACAACAACAACAACAACAACAACAACAACAACAACAACAACAACAACAACAACAACAACAACAACAACAACAACAACAACAACAACAACAACAACAACAACAACAACAACAACAACAACAACAACAACAACAACAACAACAACAACAACAACAACAACAACTTGACCCATAGATGCAGGAGTTGAGTGGAGTTGGAACCAACACGGTTGCCCTCTATGGTCATGTGACAGAGATGTGAATCCACTGTATGTGTTGGGAGGAGGTAGCAACAAACTCAGCCACAGCACTCATATACGGTCGGCGCCTGATATAACGAGCACCATTGTGCAGAAGAATTATTTTATTTAGTCCTCCATAGTCAAAGTTCTTTATACAGTCAGACTTTGCATAACCGCACACATCCGTTTTCCACGAAAACACCCGGAAAGGCGAGGGAACCGGATAATCGAACACACATACTGTATGTAAGCATGGTGTATGCTGTAAATCGGTAACCAGCGATTTTCTTCCGGATGGCGAGGGATCCGAATAAAAGAGGACCGGATAAGCAAGATCTGACTGTAACAGAAATGCACTCACACTATACAAGCCGCACGTCACGACTGGCATATGCCCCATGACTGTATTACTGCATTTGGTTTGCATGCGGGCCCTACAAGTACAAGATATGGTTTGTTTAACTGACGAAAACTGCTCGCTACAAACGGTCAACTTTGTATGGGCTCAAACAGGGACATGGGCAATGGTTCGCTATAATTATCACGAAATTCACTATATGAGAGTTTGTTATACGTGGAGTCGACTGTAGCTGCTTATAGCTGCTCGTATGGCTTGCCCATCCTGACGGTGGCGAAAGCATTTCCGTTGGAGCTGGATAAGCAGCTTGCTGTGTCATACCGGTAGCATCATTCAAATAACGTTATGGACAGCATCGCTTGAGCACTGTATTTACTTCAGGACTGTGCAGAAACATTGCTGGAAATCTTTTTTCTATTTCCTATTTTTGTTACTCTGTTCTTCACACACCCAGCTCGAAAATATTAATGAAAGACAATGGTACTGAGACTAGGACAAACGTGACTGTTCAGTTGAGGTTAGCGGCTCTGAAGGTAATTATTAAATTCGCTACACAGGAACAATACGCGCGGAACCTGGAAGCTCTAGTCAATGATTTCAGCCGAATGGCACAGCATGCAGCGATTTCTGTAGGCCACACATCGGGAGAGCAGAGGTCGCCAGCCATAGATAACACGCAACAGGGAACTATTAATGTATTATACTAACCGGGGCTGACCAGGGAATTACGACTGATCCTTCCGGCTACGTTGTTCCTTCTCGTCGATTAGTAGACTACTCCGAAATGGAAAAGAAAATATTGAATGACCATCCCACAACACCGATCTGGATGATTTAGTTCCAAACCTCCGCGAGTCGCTTTGCTACTAGATTGTACTACGGTCCCGAGGGCATCGAGGTGTGAGCAGGAAACGCGCTCCCGACAAAATTCTCACGCGCAGTGACGGGTGAAAGGTGCTGCACCCACAAGAATGTAGGCGCAGCCCGTAAACGTGGCAGAGGGGTGAAACCCAAGTCCTTCCGCCGGTTTCACACAGTCAGTTGTAGTACACAGTCGTAGGCGATGAAGATGGGTAATGATATCGGGGACAGGCCGAGGAAGAGCCCAACGCCTGAAATCCGAAGCAGGGTCTAAAAAGACCACATCACACTCGTCATGCTGTCACCCAGGTACATACGAGCAGGTACTTGTATGACGGGGCGCAAATGCATAGCCAAAACATGCGAGAGGAAATCGGGGATGTGTGAGTTTCTTTCGAGGAGCCTCTACCGCCGAGCGACCAGACTGGTATTGATTGAGGCAGAGAGAGAATAGCAAAACACACCAGCGAAGAGGCAAGTGCGAAACACAACAGACAGCACTCGACTCACCTCCGTTGGTTTCCAGTATGCTCGCGGCCATGACTGCTACCAGCAAGACAAGAGTGGTTGAGGAGACTTTCGGAAGCAAATCCATTCTTTTCTAGCAGCCTCCGTACCGGCTTTCCAGCTGCGAACAAGATTACAACGCACCGGAAACTCCGAAAACTTTACAAGCCACGAGAAAGAAAGCACAAGTCGTCAACAGCATTCGCCAGCAACAAGTACAAAACTACGAGCTCTATTTTTCTCAACTATGTCGATGCCGATGGAGTCGAAGAGGAGAGAGAGGTTGGAACACAGCCACAGGAAGTAGTAGAGGTACATGTTGCTTCCCTAGAGGCTAGATCCCTGACCATTTGAGTTCAAAGTTCATTCAGTGCCCTCTGTACTTCTCTGTAGTTTTTGAGATCCAGAGAAATGTAACCTAAATTTTGAACGAATTCGTGAAAATCTGTGCACCTTGCACCTTGCGCCAGAGCTTGCAACTATCTCGAGCTCGGGGATTTTAGAGGGGACTGCTCCATTTCGGAATTACTTTTTGAGAATTAATAATTTGACGGCGAAATTAATACGTTTTATCTACTCTTGATTGTACCAAGAGTACATAACCCCGGGGGGGGGGGGGGGTTATGTACTCTTGATTGTACCAAGTCGGAAGATAAACAAAACTGTCTGTTTATTTACACACATACCAGGGAGTAGTATACTGTAAATCATATTATTTTAACGACCCGCAACGTTAACGATTTTCTGATTTTCGAAGGTTAACGGTTTGAAAAGTTAACGATTTTCTCAGACAGATGCAATAATACTAGTAATGCTCGTCAAGAACATTCATTGTTGTCCATCACAGTATACCTCGATGTCAGTAGAATAAAGAAAATGAAATTTGTCCAGCGTAAGAGCGTAAAAAATTCAAATTTGTCGATATCCTGCCGCTTCGTCAAAATTCATCTGAGAGACTTCGGAGTTGTTCGAGCCGACTGCTGAGCGTCTCTGCTATCATCTAGATCTTTCCATTGTTGAATTCCGTTGAGAATTGACCGAGTTACGATCCGTTGAACACGCGCTGCATGCCATAATGTGAAATGATCGATTTCAATCGTGCGAGGCCCAAATCATACGACTTTTGCTAACGAATTTTAAAATAACGACAAATCTTTGCTCGTTAACTCGTTAGATTTACTTGTTCGTTACATATTCATGATTTACAGTAATACAGGGAGGTGACACGCCACTACGTAATAATCGTGATTTTTGATGGGTGCCTCGCGCTTGTTTTTTTTTCTTTCGCAAAAAAAGATGATCGGCTCAATCCGAAGTTGAGTATTTTGTCGAAGAACTAATTCCGTGAAAAGGTCTATCCATCTCATGGAACAGCATTTGTTTTGCTCTTGTGATACATCTGTGTCATCGTCATATGGAAAGGTACCACCCTTCCGAAATTCGTCCCGATCGACGGCATAGAACGAAGGTGATTTCCTTGAGAACAATACGTGTACGATTGGAGATGAAAAGCGAGTGCACCGATTTCGAAGTCGAAAAATCTCTACTACTACCGGTACTACTACACTACTGTAGGACACCACACGATCGGCACTAATTTCTCCTCAGTTGTGATCAACCAGTACTTCTCTACCTTCTTTGTGATGATGAGCATTTCATATTAATAATTATTATGGTATGCTAGAGATTCGGGAGTTCACTTTTCGGAATGAAATGTTCCTAAGTTTGTCAAGGATTGAAATGCGGGCTACGTCGTCGTAAACAGCTTGTATCGACACAGGAAAAATCTACGGCACGCAGGGATATCTCCCAAAGTGATACCACTCTTGCTGGACTTCTATCCTGACGTAGTGGTAGTTTGGTCGACTACCAAACTTTGTGAAGGCAGATAAGACGATTGTTGGAAATTCTCAGCGCTGAGTTTCTACGGGCTGCAGTAGGAGTCTCTTTGGCGGTAGGTATTTTACTACTCCCTGATCGAGAGAATCCTGATCCGCGCGCGTGTGTACACACTTCGGTACCCATAGTCAGATAGATATAGATCTTCCCCAATCTCACCCGCCGGGTGAAAACGGTGCTGAGGCAATCGTCAAACAGTTTAATTAACTGGCCGTACATGCTCGTGTCACCTCCCTGTATTTTACTACTCCCTGGTATATACCTACTGTATAATGTACAAAAAAATTGTAGACCAATCCTGAAAAGATTGTCTGAGTTTGTGAAAGGGGCCGGGGCACGTGTGCAAGCCAGCTAGCCATAGTCCGCTGCATCAACTGCAGGCTGTACATATTATTATTATGACGACTTTATTCACTCCCAAAGCAGAAAAAGAAAGCTTGAAAGGAGGCATGAAGCACAGCACCGGGATCCATATGACCCAAGGGTGGAGCACCAATCAATGAAGATAAAAGAAAATCCTGAACCAAATTTTGATAAACTTCATGAGAGAAAAATTCAAGTATACCAACTTCGATACTCACATAAAATCACAGTCATGTATAACAGAACTACTCAAGTAGTAAACACCAAGCATGCTGCACATGGGACACTCCAAGCAAGACAAACTCAGACGAGATAAAACGGCATATGCAGAGAAAGACAATACATGACTGGGGGCATATGGCAGAAATTCACGCCTCTCGGCTCGTCACACAGCACATGATGCACCACAATCATAAAACACACAGACTGAGACACAACGAGACATTACGGGCAGGCTAACATAAGGTCAACCGACCGTTCCGACCATGCCACTCTCCCATCCATGACCAGTCACCGACCGCACAATTCTCAGGGTGCCCAGAATAGCACATTGCTGCAGCCGCTGGATCACGGACGCGTGGAGCCCAAGGCTTAAGATGTGGCTGCGGCTCGTTCCTGACACACCACCCAGAGCACCAATGATAACTGGAACAATAGTTATCTTTTTGTTCCAGATCCTCCTCAGCTCTGCTGCCAAGGGCAGGTATTTGCTGATCTTCTCCTGCACCTTCTCATTGACCCTGTGGTCCAATGGGACACTGACGTCCAAGAGCAGTGCCCGATCATCCAGAACCAGCACCAGGTCTGGTCTGTTCGCTTTTATTACTCGATCTGTGGGAATGGAAATCTCCCACATCAGCTTGCAACTGGCAGAACTTGTGACCTGCACCAGCTGCTTACTGCTGGGTAACCCATGCTGCTTACACAGCGCACGATGCAGGGCCTGGACCACAAAGTTATGCCGGGCAATGTATGCAGTCCGTGCCAGGGCTGGACAGCAGGCGATGATGTGGTCCATATTTTCTCCGGGTGCACCACATACACGACAGAGGTCCACGACATCATGCCTCTTGTGGATATGGCGCATATTGTTTCTCGTGGCAATCACCTGATCCTGGCAAGCAATGAGAAAGCCTTCCGTTTCAGGACGCATTGTCTGGGATCTGAAACAGGAAAACGAGAGCTGCATGTCCAGGATACCATCAACACGCGCCCAATAGCGACCATGAAGAGGCATCGCTCGAAGTTCACGGCGGCGGTTGTCATTGAGGGCCTGTTTAACAGTCTCTTTGTTAGCGGTGTCCAGGCTCGTCAGGCGAAGGCGCTGCAGGACAGTATTTGCCAGCTTTGGTATTGATTTTCTAGAGGGACGTGATTCATGGTGCTGGAGAACAGCGGCCAGGGCAGGGACATCTTCCCGATCCTTCAGGTACTGAGCGAGCCGGATGCAAGTACGGTCATGGAGATCTACGATGCATACTAGGCCACGACCTCCCTCGCTCCGCGGTAGATATAGGCGACGGATTGAGGCACGTGGGTGGTGGGCCCTGCTAGCAGTCAGAGCCTTCCTCACTGTCCTGTCCAGCGAGCGGAGCTCATCCGCGGTCCAAGGAACGACTGTGCCAAGGCCATAAGACACCACTGGCAGAACGTAGGTGTTGATTGCTCTGATGAGGTTTGGTGCACATAGTGAAGCATCCGTGATCAAGCGAAGACGGCGACGGAACTCAGCGATGGCAGATTGTTTAACTTCACCAGCCTCGATTCCCAGGAATTCCCGCAGGCCAAGGTAGAGGTACGCCGCGCCATCTTGCAGAGGATGAATGATCGACTCTGTTAGCAAGGTTGACGAAGGCTCTGCATCCTGGGTTGGCTTAGCGGCCGGGCAGACAATCTTCGAGCACTTAGTGGGAGATAGTTGCATGCCAACCGCCCCACCAACGCACTCCACAATGTTGATCAAGGAGTCCAGTCCAGTACTGCTAGCGGCAAATAGCTTGACGTCATCCATGTACCATAGATGCGACAACAGGGAATCACGCGTGGGTCCACAACGATATCCTATGCCGCTTCTTGCTAATTCGTTTGAGATTGGGTTGAGACCGATGCAGAACAGCAGGGGAGACAGAGAATCACCCTGGAAGATACCCCGTCGGATGGATATTGGCTCGCTGACACCGCTGTTAAGGCACAGTTGTGTGCTCCATTGCTCCGACAGCGTTTGGAGTGTGCGGATGATCCTAGGATCGAACTTGTAGATGGTAGCAATTTCCCAGATCCACTCTTGGGAAAGGCTATCGAAGGCCTTTCGGAAGTCTAGCCATGCCATACTGAGGGAGCGCTGGTGGCATTTGGCATCTTCAATAATCATGTTGTTGATCAACAACTGATCTGTGCATCCTCCTCGGCCACGTGCACATCCGACCTGTTCCGGGGCCAGCAGACTGTTAGCGGTGATGTGAGACCACATAAGCTCCGATACTACAGATGTGAAAAGTTTATACATAGAAGGCAGGCAGGTTATAGGTCTCCAGTTCTGGGGTTTCGACAGATCACCTTTCTTCGGTAGGAGTACGGTTGCACCAAGGGAGAACCAGGGCGGTGGCACGACTTCCGAATCCAACAGCTGCTGGAATATGCGAAGCAAGGCAGGATGCAGTGCACTAAACTTCTTCAACCAGAATGGTCTGATGTTGTCAGGCCCAGCAGCACGCCAGTGAGGCATCCTTCCAACTGCCAGTTGGAACAACTCCGGCGTTATGACTGCATCCTCTTGTGGCTGGACATCTTGATAGGCAAGAGCCTCCCGTTCAATCCATCCATGTCTGCTTATTATTATTATTATTATTATTATTATTATTATTATTATTATTATTATTATTATTATTATTATTATCAAATTTTTGATAGGGCAATCCCCACAGGCCTAAGGCCTTCTTACAGGGTACCCTACACTACTTTTCACAGATATGTTTTCCATCATCGTGATTACCTTGCTGATTTCCATTTCAAGATGACGAATAGTGAGCGACGACCAAATAAAATCATTCTTCCCAAATTTAAATCATTGTCTAAGTATTATTATTATTATTATTATTATTATTATTTATTTTTTTTTTTTTGAATAATAAACTGGTTTATTATGTACTATTATGTGAGATGAAATAAAACAGGAAAGGGCACAGGCCCTGATACGTGCAAGGGATAGCAATCAACCTTGCACATGTGTTCTAAATACATGTAAATGTAAATGCAAAACAATTAAAAACAAAAACACAAACAATGAGCAATAACTTCAGGACTGGGCACAAGTCCTAAACCAGTAAAAGGTGCAAGAGATAATAATCAACCTTGCGAGTTCGAGTCAAAGCATGCGGACTCACAACAAAATGGCATCAACGTGAGCAAAGAGGAAGAAGAGAAAGGAAACAGCAAAACAAAAAAGCAAAGACGGAGGATAAACGGCAACAGAACCAAAACTGGCAAACAAACCTGTGACATCATCATGCACAGACACAAAAGACAAATCGAGCCGAGTCAAACTGGCATGAGCGACTCATGCTGCAGGACATCGCTGGGGTGATGGCTGAAATTCACCTTCCTCCGACTACCACGCAACATCATGACGGAGTCACGGACTAGAGTGAAGCCAAGCTCACAGCGGATCCGTCCCATGAGGATGCTGTATTATTATTATTATTATTATTATTATTATTATTATTATTATTATTATTATTATTATTATTATTTTTCCCGTTTGTCTCTTTCCCTCAAAACCAGTTAATATTATTATTATTATTATTATTATTATTATTATTATTATTATTATTATTATTATTAATATTATTATTATTATTATTATTATTATTATTATTATTATTATTATTATGTGCAAGCCTCTTTTACGGGCAAAAATTAACACAATGTATTAAAATGCAATACAACATACACTGGAGAAGAAATCAGGAAAATAAAATATGAGCTCAAAAATGGAACGAAAAATAGCAAATAGAATCAAAACTCACGATGGAATCAAACTCACGATGGAATCAAACTCATGATGGAAACTACAAAACCCAATGAGTTGGAAAACCAACCACAGAATTAGATATTGGGAATAGAGTCAGACACAACAACGACCGAAATCAGTACACCAAAAATCTGTCCTACAAAAAAACAAAGGAACAAGAAAAACAAGAAAGACGAAGTACAAAGAATCCCCAAAAAAGAGGGGAGAACGGGATGAAAGAGGACCGGAGAGCGGCAAACCCCAGGAGGACTTAGCGTCACGTAGTGGCGGGAATGCGGGCCTCCACAGAAACAGCATCCACATCCGCCGCCAGACCAGGTGCACGGAATGCACGGCGACTCCCACGAACCATCAGGACGGAGTCGCGGACAAGGCTGAAAGCCAGGTCCGTCCGCAGCTTTCCCATCACGAGGGGATAAGGCTGCGAGAGCTTGGTGGAGAGCTTCGTTCCGAGCAGCTTCAGGAACCGGGTGGCCTCCTTCGCCAGGGCACCAGCGGAAGACAGGACGATCGGGGTGAATGACGCGTGCTCAATAATAATAATAATAATAATTATTAAGAAAGGTTCGCTCCCCACACCGGAGCTCGCGCTATTCCGCCGACTTTACTTGACACTTGACTGACTCACGACTGCCATCCAGAGCACACGAGAAGTCCATCGAACCTTCGACTCGGCAAACCTGCAAGAAAGCACCACTCCCTGCTCAATACACAGTGTTTCGGGGAATTCACCCCTCATCAGTTGAGCTTGAGTAGGCTGAAGAAGATTGTGCCTGAAGAGCACCACTTATATAGTGCTCTCCAAGCACAAACATCACCAGGGATACAAACTTACAGAGACGCTCCGCTTCCAGCGCGATAAACACCCCGTGAACACCAGATAGCAGCGTGAGTCAGTGTCGCTCCTGGACGGTGAGACAGACGTCGAGGACCCTCGGTCATTCGCAACGCTATCACCTCCAAACCAACTAGTCGCAAGCCCGCGCTGGGCACAACAGTACGAAGTAGTGGTTGCGACTTCGGCGATGATTTGTAAGAAAGGTTCGCTCCCCACACCGGAGCTCGCGCTATTCCGCCGACTTTACTTGACACTTGACTGACTCACGACTGCCATCCAGAGCACACGAGAAGTCCATCGAACCTTCGACTCGGCAAACCTGCAAGAAAGCACCACTCCCTGCTCAATACACAGTGTTTCGGGGAATTCACCCCTCATCAGTTGAGCTTGAGTAGGCTGAGGAAGATTGTGCCTGAAGAGCACCACTTATATAGTGCTCTCCAGGCACAAACATCACCAGGGATACAAACTTACAGAGACGCTCCGCTTCCAGCGCGATAAACACCCCGTGAACACCAGATAGCAGCGTGAGTCAGTGTCGCTCCTGGACGGTGAGACAGACGTCGAGGACCCTCGGTGGTGATGTTTGTGCCTGGAGAGCACTATATAAGTATAAGTGGTGCTCTTCAGGCACAATCTTCCTCAGCCTACTCAAGCTCAACTGATGAGGGGTGAATTCCCCGAAACACTGTGTATTGAGCAGGGAGTGGTGCTTTCTTGCAGGTTTGCCGAGTCGAAGGTTCGATGGACTTCTCGTGTGCTCTGGATGGCAGTCGTGAGTCAGTCAAGTGTCAAGTAAAGTCGGCGGAATAGCGCGAGCTCCGGTGTGGGGAGCGAACCTTTCTTACAAATCATCGCCGAAGTCGCAACCACTACTTCGTACTGTTGTGCCCAGCGCGGGCTTGCGACTAGTTGGTTTGGAGGTGATAGCGTTGCGAATGACCGAGGGTCCTCGACGTCTGTCTCACCGTCCAGGAGCGACACTGACTCACGCTGCTATCTGGTGTTCACGGGGTGTTTATCGCGCTGGAAGCGGAGCGTCTCTGTAAGTTTGTATCCCTGGTGATGTTTGTGCCTGGAGAGCACTATATAAGTGGTGCTCTTCAGGCACAATCTTCCTCAGCCTACTCAAGCTCAACTGATGAGGGGTGAATTCCCCGAAACACTGTGTATTGAGCAGGGAGTGGTGCTTTCTTGCAGGTTTGCCGAGTCGAAGGTTCGATGGACTTCTCGTGTGCTCTGGATGGCAGTCGTGAGTCAGTCAAGTGTCAAGTAAAGTCGGCGGAATAGCGCGAGCTCCGGTGTGGGGAGCGAACCTTTCTTACAAATCATCGCCGAAGTCGCAACCACTACTTCGTAATAATAATAATTATTATTATTATTATTATGGAGTTGGCTTTATTTCACTCACGTTGTCATGACATGAGGTAAGAACCCCATCACCGGGCCAAAAGAGACCAAGGGTAATGAGAGAAAAAAAAAATAGATAAATGGCCAACGCAATGAAGACCGAAGCAAAAAGGATTGTAAAAACCAAAGCAAAAATATTGAAAGCCGACGCAGAAACTGAGAGACGGACAGAAATAAGCAGTACGATGGAGGATGCCAGGACATATTCGAATACAAAAAGATGGAGGAGGACAGGACATATTCGAATACAAAAAGAGTAATTACAAAAATGGACTACCAGTACAGGAATAGACCTGTAGAAATAGAGGAAGAGATGAATGCCGGACATACTCAAATGGCAAGAGAAAAATCAGGCTGTGAGAACCGTCATACTGCACATTCATGGATGTCAAAGCAAATGCGGTATTGGAGGTTTATACAGACTAGCTCTACCCGTAACATGAGGAGCCTAATGCCGAATGCCAAGAACCGACTTGATGATGTTCAGCGTGCCCAGGATAGCACATTGCTGAGCCCTTTCAATGCGCAGAGTGCCTGCCAATGCCAACACAAAGTGTGAGAGGGACACACCAGTCAGTCCACCAAGCGCCCCAACAACCAGGGGCACAACGCGGACATCATCCACATGCCAGATGCGCCGCAGCTCTTATTATTATTATTATTATTTTAATAACGAAGGTACGTGTTAGGTCGTAAGTATCCACGCAAACACACATCCAGTCAAAATAAGGCACTTGTCAAAGTATCCGAACGTTTTCGGTCCCTTCTCATCAAGGATTATACAGGGAATGGCTCAAGTTGAAAAGACTAAAACTTATATAGCGTAAAGATATGAGATAACAACACTCGTGACAAGGTGAAAAAAGTATCAAGTTCAGCACGACACAAAACTCG